CACAGTTATTGCATCCTCACAGTGCTGGAAGTATGGCATGATTTATAAGGCTGCTTTTTGCATTTGATAAATTGGGCCTTAATCCTTTTTTGCTGGTACAAATTTGGAAAAAATACAAAAACACTCTTCAGGATTTGCTTACGAGTTCAGAATTTCCTTGCTGAGGATAAAAACAAACAAACAGATCTCCCAGTCCTTTCCTTAGCTTGCATTGATTTTTGACTAATTTAATATGATGTAAGCTGTTGTTTGTAAACAATTGGCAACTAATGAACGTCATTATTTCTTACATTGTGCTGCAGAGGATGCAACCTTTAAGAATGGTGTCAGAAGTGACAAATAGCTGTTATTTTAAATACTAATCCACCATAAGCTTTAAAAACCTGGCAGATATCTGAAATACACTTCAACAAAGAGCTATAATGGTCTGTTTCTTTTCTCTAGGTGTTCATTACTGCCTATGATTTTAATCGACGGTATGTGGGAGATGATAAAGTCCAAGATTTAAATTGTGTACATACCTTTTCTGAGTGAGATCTGTTCCTGGACAGAGTGCAATGCATCACTTCATCCACTGCAATTCTCACATAATGCTGAGGTCAAAATCTGAAAGAGATTTTTCAGCTCACAGCTCATGCTAAAATCTAAAGCTATGCCACAGAGGGAAAATTGTTGGCTTTCTTTTAAATCTTAGCTACAAATAGAGAGTAACAACTTCAGAAGTTACTGGTGTAGAAATTATTTCTTTCTTTCTTCTTCTCTTAAAAAAACCCCCTTCTAAATGTACCAGAAGGAATTAAGCTTGAATGGTTGGGATGGTTGCATCTAGAGCTGTACATAGCCCCAGTGATCCAAGCCAGAGCCCAGTCTGAGACTTCAGATTAGTCCCAATCTGGGCTGATCCAACCCAGATCAGAGTGCTGAATTGATTCTAGGGCCAGTCCTAATATTTTATTAGAGTTTGAAACATCTCCCTTCCCAACTGCACTGCAAAGAGCAGTACTGAACCTTCTCTTCACCAGCTGGGAACATGCTGGTGAAGCAGACCCCAGCAGAATTGAACTCTCCTCCCATTAGCTGGCTGCAGGAGTATCCTTTGCCAATGTGTTCCCCACAGGGAGCACCCCGCAGGACTAAGCTCAGGATTAAATCTTAAATCCTGCTGTCTGCAGTAGAGTCAAAGACAAGGGGAAGAGAAGGAAACACATCATCTCCTTATTCTCCCACCCCTCTACTGACCATATGTTGGATTGTTTTGTGAAGGAAATAGGGGGTCTCCAAGCAACTATTAGCATCCTTAACAAACTACAGTTCTCAGGATTATGTTGGGGGAGCCATGGGTGTTAAAGTGGTATAATAGTGCTTTAAATATAAGGTGCAGATCTGGCCAAAGGTGGAGCTCATACAAGAATCCAAAGAGCTGTGCAGCTAGTTCCATATATCCAATATGACTTCAGACTTGGGTTTCATAAACAGAAAACTGCCTTTGTAACTGAGGAAAGTTTCAAAGGCAGTGCATGATAATTCAATACACCTTGACAATTCAAGAGCGTATGATACCCAGCTCTACCTCTCTTTTAAATCAGAACCAGTGAAGGCAGTGAAGGTCCTGTGTGAGTGCCTGGAGGCAGCTGGAGGATGGATGGTGGCTAACGGATTGAGGGTGAATCCTGACAAGACAGAAGTACTGTTCTTGGGGGACAGGGGGCAGGCTGGTGTGGAGGACTCCCTGGTCCTGAATGGGGTAACTGTGCCCCTGAAGGACCAGGTGCACAGCCTGGGAGTCAGTTTGGACTCACAGCTGCCCATGGAGGCACAGGTCAATTTTGTGTCCAGGGCAGCTGTCTACCAGCTCCATCTGGTACGCAGGCTGAGATCCTACCTGCCCGCAGACTGTCTTGCCAGAGCGGTGCATGCTCTAGTTATCTCCTATTTGGACTACTGCAATGTGCTGTACGTGGGGCTACCTATGAAGGTGACTCGGAAACTGCATTTAATCCAGAATGTGGCAGCTAGACTGGTGACTGGGAGTGACTGCCAAAACCATATAACACCGGTCCTGAGAGATCTGCATTGGCTCCCAGTACATTTCCATACTGACCTTTAAGTGTTGGTGCTGACCTTTAAAGCCCTAAACAACCTTGGTCCTGTGTACTTGAAGGAATGTCTCCACCCCCATCGTCCAGCCCAGACACTGAGACCCAGCGCTGAGGTCCTTCTGGCAGTTCCCTCGCTCGAGAAGTGAGTTTAAAGGGAACCAGGAAGAGGGCCTTCTCAGTAGTGGCACCTGCCCTGTGGAACGCCCTCGCAGTAGATGTCAAGGCAATAAGCAACTCTCTTACTTTTAAAAGACATCTGAAGGTGGCCCTGTTTAGGGAAGTTTTTAATGTTTGATGCTGTATTGTGTTTTTAATATTTGGTTGGAAGCCGCCCAGAGTGGCTTGGGAAACCCAGCCAGATGGGCGGGGTATAAATAACTTACTACTACTACTACTACCTGCTCTTGAAGAAAAAAAGTAGTCAAAAATCCTTCTAAAACAGCATTAGGCAGAATCAGTAGTAACTATTTACAATAAGCTGAAAAATAAAAAAGGGATGAAAACCTTCAAAATATAATGGAACTCATTTTTTTTCATAGTTGCAGATCCTATAGGCATCATATTTTCAATTCAGGGTGGAAATAATAGGTATTTGCGTAGCTGTGTGATTATTAACTGGTTGTAGTGATTTACAATTTACCCTACACCACCTTGTCAGTTAGGTTACTGCTCTGAAACCTCAAGTGATGGCTGGATGGATCAGAACTGGAGTAGTCAACGTGGCACCCACCAAATGCTGGACTACAATTCCCATTACTCCCGACGGTTGACTACGCTAGCTGGGGCTGATCAACAGTTGCAGTCGAACAAAATCTGGAGGGCACCAGGTTGCCTACCCTTCAACTAGACAATGGTTGGGCAATTTTATCTGAAGCAGACGAAAAGAATTGCCTGACAAAAGTATGGGCTGCGTGTTTCAAAAATGAAATGAATGGTATGTGTCAAAAATGACAAATAAGGTCATTAAAATATATTTTCAGACTGATTAAAATATACTGTTTAATGCACTGTTACTACTTGCCCTCAGGGAATATCTACCAAAATTTTGAACAAGGAGAAATAAGTATCTGGCTTTTAAATCGAAATAGAAGAAAGATGCAAATTATGAATAATTTGTTTCTGCTATAAGTCTTGTTCCCTTGGAGAAGCTGGGCCAAATGTTTGGGTGGCGGTGTGTGTGTGTGTGTGTGTGTGTGTAGATTTTGCATCCAGGATCATTCTTTTGTTGAAAGGCACTGACCTTACAACTCTTTCTTATTTTCCCCATTTATCATGTTAGTGAAACCAATCATTTAACTACGTGGAGCATGTTTGGAACACTCAACCATATCCAAGTCATGTCCAGGTTTTCATCTGAATGGAATTTACAGGTAACAAGCAAAAACCACCTTAACCAGTTATACAGATTTATAATTACATAGTACATAATTATGTTATTATTAACGATTACATTTCTATCCCACATTTCCTCAAAGAGCTCAAGATGGTGCACAAAGCTCTTCTCCCAATTTTAACACCACAACACCCTTGGGAGGTAGCTAAAGGTGAGAGATGGTGACTGACCCAAGATCACCTACTGAGCGGAGCGGAAATTCCAACCCTGGTCTCAGAAGCCTAGGACAATGCTCCAAGCACAATGCCACATTGGCTCTGTAGCAGAGTATGCAGTATTTAGCTTGTAGCATTGTTTCTCTATATAGGGGCAATCAAAGGAAGATGCTCAACCTTTAGTTTTAATCTGATTCCAGTAGACAAATTTCATGCCAAATTATTACATAATTTAGTTCTTTTCAGTCTTGAAATACCGTAAACAGATTTGGAGTCTACTAAGAACAAATATACAGAGTAGAGAAGCATCAGAAAGCTGAGGTTTCCTTCCCAGTTTTGTTTCCTATCAAGCGATCTACTTCTCTTATTTTTTTTACAAGGTGTGGAAAGGTTTCTCTTAAAAATGACTTATTGACTGCCGCAGGGAATGCCTGAGGCAGGGAAACATAAATAAGAAAAGAAAAAGAAAGAAAACAAAACAATTACTAAAAGCTTTAGAGCACTTTCAAGCTTATGCAATGGGGGATTTTTTATTTTATTTTTTGCTTGCTCTCTGCAGGTCTTTCTAACACTACCCCGGTAGGCCATTGCATTGCATTTCCACATTTCAGACAGTTCTTCCAGGAAGATATTGACATATGGAATTTTAGAATGGCATTGCAATGAAACACAACTGCCAAACACAACTGCCTTGAGTCCTTTCTAGTTCTTCAGATCCTGTACCTGTGGGGGTAGAATATACAAGAGCAAGTTTGCCAAAGCAGTTCCTTTATTAAGTCAATGACATTGACTAGCTAGTTAAGCACCACAATTAGGATAAACAAATAACTTGCTATGTGCCACAGAACAAATGGATGAGTCTCTCCCACCCTCTTCATCTAGCTGTTATGTAGGAGTTGTGTGAGCCAGAAGCAAGGGAGAGAGACATGTCTGCTCTGTGCTGGGCTTTGAGGATCATACAGAAACCAAATGGGGATGCAAGATCTTTGGAGATATTAATGTTGTGAGCCTCTTCATCCTATGGTCAAGTTATATATATGTCTGTGTAAATAAAACCATATATCCTAAATACACCATAATCTCCACTGACCTTCATTCCAAGGAAACTGAACCCTGGGTAAATGCCAGAACCCCTAGATTCTGTCACCAATTGGAGTGAGATTGGGGTGGTGTATACCAATATGTTCTGATTTACAATAAACCATGGACTGGAACAGGAATAGGACTTAACTGTACTACAAATAATGGAGTAGAACAGGGATTTTCATTGGACTCCAACTCCCATCAACCCCAGCCAGCAAAGCCACATCATCAAGGATGATGGAAGCTGTAGTTTAGAAACATCTGAAGAGCTACCGGAACAGAACATGTCTCTGGAACAGTAGAAAGAACAGTGAAATTTGTATGTCATTGAGTTGTATGCAGCCTTGACTCAGCCTTAGGAAAGTCAGGTTGCTAGTTCACAACAACAACAACAGCAACAGCAGAAAGAACAAATGTAAAACTATTTTTGAATCCAAGAGGAAGGGGACATCTGCCGAGCCAACCAAAGCAGCCAAATCAACCCTAGCGATCAATGGGGTGACAGATGTCACAACCAGATTACCCTCACATCAAGCTCAAATGGTCTCAACTTTAAGCAAACAGAAGGGAAATGAAATTAATGGACACGGAGCCTCTATTGCAGACCACTGTGTGCCCCTGATGATTACGAGAAGCAACCTGAGAATCTGATTTAGCTCAAATATTTTTAGATGGTTTGGGGACTACCACAAAAGAATGACTACAGGGAAAGCATTATCCCCCAATGAACAAGTCAGCAAATACTGTAACCAGGCTTTCCTCAGGGATTGCTTTCAAGGCCTTGTTATGTTGAAATACCTGTATCAAATGTTCTTGGCTTGCAGTTACAGCATACTCAGGTGCATTTTTTATGTGTCTGATACCACTGGGATGCCAGTAAGTCCTATTTAGAGGAGTTCAAGGACACACATCAGCAGAGTTTTATATATCTTCAGCGTGTCTCTGAATACCAGTTGCTGGCAATCATCGGGGACTTGGGCATGCATCCTTGGCCAGCTTTGTTTTGCAGTGTTGGAAACTTTGTGTGGCAAAGCTCTCATATTCTCTGTTGCCTCTTACCTGGTCTCAGTATATTCTTTTCTAAGCTAAACATCCATTCCTCACTCACTCCATTCACAGCTGATTCATTGTGTTAAAGACGGGTATACATTTGGGGACAATATTGTAGGAATGTAAATGCAGTATATAAAGAAAAGGTGTAGAGTTATCCTTAGAAGCTTGACTGGAAGCATTAAAAGTCTCTTATAAAGAAAATATTGCAGCAACAGAAATCATTCACTTTGTAATTTAAGGTTAAATATGATGTTCGTAGGTCAGTCGACCAAAAGGGGTGGTGGAGGAGATGTTGCTAGCAAGCAAGCTGAGTGGCACAATTATTATTTATTAAAATATTTATAGACTGCACTTTTTGTAAAATACAGCAAGCAAAATTACAATAAGATAAATAAAAAAGCATCAGTAGAAACATCAATAAATACTGGTTGCTAAAAGAAATTCACACTGCAAAGGCCTATCTGAATAACACCACTTTTAGGAGACGTCTTAAAGAAAGCAGGAACAACTCCTACCCAACCTCTGCTTGGAAGAAGTTTCACAGGGCAGGGCCCTCATTCCTGAAACCTTGGCCCTGGTAAAAACTGACTGCACCTCATGGGCATGAGGAACCACAAGCAGTGCCCCATCAGAGGCTCTCAGTTATAGAGGCAGAGCATAAGGAATCAAGCAATCCTTAAGGTACTTCAGGCCCAAGTTCTGCCTCACAGCTGCCTCACAAGAGGCAGCACCCAATGGGCATCCATGCCACCATCTCCACCAGCAGCAATGGTGCTGGCCTCTGGAAAGATCTTATCAAAATCTTGCAATATCACACCAGAAGCTGCTGCTGATGATGAAAGTTCACGGGCTGTGCCATGCAACCCCCTAAGGGAGGCAGTAGCAGCAGCAGCAGCATGGCAGCATGACCCCTCAGGCGCATCACCCCACCTACCGCCATGGCAGTCTTCCACCTCATTTTGTTGAGTTTATAGATGATACCTTTTTTAAAAAGAGTGAATGCAAGAGAAGAAAAATGAACACACATACACTCCATCACACCTTGCTGTGTTCTATTCTTATGGGCACTTCCCATTCTCCTTGACCAGCTGATGTCTAATATCAAAGCCAGAATATGAAAAAGATTCCTTCGACCATGGAGAATAATGGGAAATAAATTGGTCAAGTGCTGTTACCATGATAGTTACAATTTTCAGATGATGATGCTTGCCTATCCAGATCATGCAATAAATGGGACATATTGGATATTAAGTCCATATTAACTGTACACACTCTTAGATGTGTATTATAAAATGTAATTTCAGCACAATTCTGTGGAATCTGGCCATTAGAACCAGATTCACGATTGCTGTTTTAGAATGCATGTATGAATACTAATGCAGAATAAAATCTGGCTGATGTTTAGACTTCTATGCAGATTAATTTTTTCCCCCAAAGCAGTTTTTCTTCTGAAACACAGGAACATAAACGCTTCAGAGCAAATTAAGCTCAGGCTAATGTAACTTAGCTATTGATGTAGCCCTAAGCTGTGACACATTCAGCAGTCGAATTCGCTTGGGTTGCTATTGTAAGGGTAAAGTTATGCATACATTTGAGATCTTGGGTGTATTGGGTGTTAGAGGAGGGGCAGTACCTCTGGTGGGGGGACACATTGCACTCCTTCTGGGATAGTTTGTCCACCTTTGGTTGCCACCATGCACTCAGCTCTCACCCGTGGCTCCTGGCAGCTGACTGGCCACATTCTGGGAAATGGCTTTGACTGGCTGGTTAAACCAGGTGGTGGTAGTCAATGGGTCTTAAACCCTCAATGAGTTAGGGACTTGTGTTTTTTATTTTAGCTGTAAGTTGTTCAGTAAAAATATGGCACATCAATCCTATAAAAAACAGGTTCAAAAGACTGGAAGAACATTGCAGCAATTCTGTCTTCATGAAATAAATACTGACCATTTAAGAAACGATTAGACCTTGAGAGAACTTGAATTGCACTTATCTAAAGGAAAAACTATTGATAATATTAACCAGCAGAAAATTAGGCAAGAAGAACAATATTGGCAATAAATCTTGGAACCTCAAGCACCTAATAAATATTCCCCTAATATAAAGCATCTTAATGTCATTTTCACCAATATGTGTACACTTGCATTTTTAATTTTTTTGCCCATTACTTAGCTGACACAATTTGTAGAAATTCAAATGTCAAAGCATGGCTGCATTTCAGTGTAAATTAAGCAAGTTCTCCTTTAAATGTAAACTGAATTGAATTTGTCCCCTATCTATAGTGGAGTCCTCTAGTGGTGCAGAAAAAGAAGAGCATTCTATAGGAGGGATATATAAAGAGGAAAGTGGGGGGACTAGCAAATATAACTGCAGGTACATCTATGAATGGCCAAATGGGTGGGGACAGCCAGATACTGAATGCTGAGAACAGAATGTGCTGGAAAGAAAGAAAGGAAAGAAAGTATTTGGAAAAGCTAGTAATAGCCCAGAGGAAGTACATGGTATGGGGCACAGATAGAAGGGGATTAGGGAGACAGATGTTAGGAAAACACTGATGTAATTGCAAGGGGATAAATGCTCCTCTGTTACAACCTTCTTAATCTAGAAGGACAGACCCTCCAAGCGCCCTTATTTTCCAGGGACAGTCCTGGATTTACAGAAGCCATCCCAGTTTCTGATTTGATCCTGGAATGTCCTGCTATTCATTAGGATGTCCATATTTTCATTGGAGAAATGTCAGAGTGTATGGAGTTATTCAACCCCCGACCCATCTGAAGGTAACCCTGTATAGGGAATTTCTTTATGTTCAATGTTCTATTGTGTTTTTATATATGTTGTAAGCCACCCAGAATGGCTACAACAACCCAATAAGATGGGCAGGGTATAATTAGTAAAATTATTACTATAGAATAAAAAAGGTAAAGGACCCCTGACAGGTCCAGTCGCGAACGACTCTGGGGTTGCGGCACTCATCTAGCTTTATTAGCTGAGGGAGCCGACGTTTGTCCACAGTTTTTCCGGGTCATGTGGCCAGCATGACTAAGCCACTTCTGGTGAAACCAGAGCAGTGCATGTAAACGCCGTTTATCTTCCCGCCAGAGCGGTAACTATTTATCTACTTGCACTTGGACATGCTTTCGAACTGCTAGGTTGGCAGGAGCTGGGACCGAGCAACAGGAGCTCACCTCGTCATGGGGATCCGAACTGCGACCTTCTGATCGGCAAGCCCAAGGCTCAGTGGTTTAGACCACAATGCCGCCCGCGTCCCTCTACTATAGAATAGGACGTCCCAATTTTCATCGGATAAAAGTTGGAGAATGAAATGTGAGCTCAAAGGTGATCTCAGCTGTTCCCCTCCCCAGTTTGATCACACCAGTTGGACTACATCATGCATCCCCCAAATATGAAGATAATGAAGGATTCCCCCCCCCCGAATATTGGTGAATATTGGTGTCAGTTCAGCAACATAGATAAGGAGATAGGAATCTCTATTTTAGTGCTATCCAGTATATCCTTGCATCATGCTCCTTTAGTTTTCCTAGTGAAGAAAGGTTCAAACGCACAGCCTGCTCTCTGTACACACACTGGCACATGCTAAAGTGCTTGAGCAAATAATTGGCTGAATAGGGACCTCCAGTATTATTCTAAATGTCATAGGCCTTGCGATCTGAAATAAGTGCCGTTAGTCCAAAGAGTTCTTTGCAACGATCGAACAACAAGCCTTTTGGACTGTTGTGAGCAGCCCAAACGTAACACAGGCAGCATATTAGGGTGGTCAAACATCATTGTGCACAGGAAGAGATGATGTAGTTATTTTAAACTGAGTTTTTTGGACTAAATAGCTGATGGCAATGAAGTTGCTCATCTTTTGAAAGCGGGAAGGCGTGTGTATAAATAACACCATATCTTCACCATTTATTATGCCTGCTTGACATATGCACACTGGAAGACTAATTGCACATTCAACTCCCCTATGGCAACATCTGAAAGTGTTATAAATTAATAACTCACAAATTGTCATACAAATTAAAAGCAATCATACACGTTAGTCTCTTGACTTATAGCTGGACTTTGCAAGCTCTACTCATTGTCAGTTATGATAATCCTCAGTAAGTCTTCCTGTTTAATTACTAACCCTCTTGTATGCATATGATTTAATAATTCATGCAAACTACCATGCTGTTTGCTGTGATAAAATTTTTATCTGTGCACACTGGGAGCAGATGAGGAGAAGTATTCCTGCTCAGTTTATTCTTCCCCAATAGTTCATGACATTTACATCAGTCTCCTGTGATCATTAATATGCCAATCCAACTGCTATTTTCTACCATAGTTTGGATGATTGGCATGCTTTCTATAATAACCTGGGTTTTTTATAATAAACAGCAGCTGACAATAGCTCCATTCATCACCATCCAGTAGGGGAGTCCAACTTATTGGTCAGCTGCTTGGAGTTCTTCTTTGATCATGCTTTATTAGGTGA